CTTGCAAATTAATCAGTCTTCATAATGAATGTTTTTACTTGGAACTGTAGGGGAGCAGCAAAAAAACAGTTTAAGAATATTTTTTCCAGATTCTGTAGGAAATATCGTATAGGAGTGGCTGCCATTCTTGAACCTAGAGTGAGTGGCTCTAAAGCTATTAAAATAATACGTAGCTTAGGTTTCTCTAACTATATAATTGTTGATGCACATAGCTTTGCTGGTGGTATTTGGTTGTTATGGAATAGTAGGGATGTTGAAATAAAGCTAGTTGCCAAACATGAACAGTTTGTTCATGTGTGGGTGGACTTTCCAGACTTGAAGGGATTTTATTGGACTGCTGTCTATGCAAGCCCTCAAGTAAGGACTCGTCAGTTGCTTTGGGAGGAACTTAAACATCTGGGAAGGGGTATGGATGAACCTTGGCTTCTGACTGGTGACTTTAATGAGGTAGCTATGGCCTCCGAGAAAAAAGGAGGAGGTCCTGTGGATACTAATAGGTGCAATCAGTTTGATAATATGCTCAACTCTTGTGGGGTTTTGGATTTAGGAGGTGGAGGCAATAGATTCACTTGGAAAGGGCCGAAATTCTTACACTTAGAAAGAGTTTTTAAAAGACTAGACAGAGCAGTGGGCAATGAGGTTTGGAGAGCTGCTTTTGAGGAGGCTGATGTTATCACTTTGCCTAGGCTATTTTCGGATCATAATCCTATTCTAGTCAGATTGATAAAAGAGGATAGTAACTGGAAAGAAAGGCCTTTTAGGTATTTGGCTGCTTGGCAAAATGACTCAAGATTTTTACCTTTCCTAAAAGCTAGTTGGTCTTCTTCTGTTGGGTTGCTGGATAACCTGAATGCTCTTGTTCCTAAGCTGAAAGATTGGAATAAGAACATTTTTGGTTTCACTCATTTAAGGAAGAACAGGATTATTGCCAGAATGGAGGGAATCCAGAAGAGTTTTAGCTCTTACAACAACTGTCAATTTGAGGAATTGGAAGCTAGTTTAAAGAAGGAGCTTGAAGACATCCTTGATTTAGAGGAACAAATCTGGTTCCAGAAATCCAGGGGTGAGTGGATAAGAGATGGAGATAGGAATACTAGGTTTTATCACACTAGTACTGTCATCCGGAGGAAAAGGAATAAGATTTTGAAACTTCAAGATGATAAGGGCTACTGGGTATCTGAAGAAGAACAGCTAATTGATCTAGCAAGGGGTTTCTTTATTAATCTGTTCAAGAAAGCTGAGGATGAAGATTTCTGGATCCAAACCACTAACTCCTGGCCGAAGCTTAGGGAGGATCATAGTGAGGGATTGGCAGCAGGGGTAACTGAAGAAGAAGTGAGAAAATCATTCTTTCAAATGCCTCCTTTAAAAGCCCCAGGGGCTGATGGGTATCCAGCAATGTTCTATCAAAATTTTTGGGAGATGCTTAAAGATCAAGTCAATATCAGCATGCAGTATTACTTGAAACACCCAGATAAGCTTGGGGAGATAAACCACACCCTCCTTGTTCTAGTCCCGAAAGTGGAAAGGCCATGCCTGATGAAGCAGTTCAGGCCTATAGCTCTCTGCAATACCATATATAAAGGTTTCAGCAAGATTCTGGCTAATAGAATAAAACCTATGCTGGAAGAGTTGATATCCCCAAATCAGGCCAGTTTTATGCCTAAGAGACACATTCAGGACAATATAATCATTGTCCAAGAACTCATTCACACTATGCACAGGATGACAGGTAGAAAAGGATTCTTCTCCATCAAGATTGATTTAGAAAAGGCTTATGACAAACTGAGTTGGAAATTTATTAGATCAGTTTTGGTGGAATTGAAGTTTCCTGGATCATTGGTGGAAGCTATCATGGGTTGTGTAACCAGTCCAACTATGGAGGTGCTATGGAATGGTTCCAGAACTCCTAGCTTTCAATCTCAAAGGGGAATAAGACAAGGGGACCCTCTATCACCCTATATTTTTGTTCTGTGTATGGAGAAGCTGACACACTTGATCATGGATGAAGTGGAGGGTAAAGCTTGGAATCCCATTAGAGCTGGCAGATCTGGACCTCAAATTTCTCATGTCATGTTTGCTGATGATATAATTTTGTTTGCAGAAGCTTCCTTAAGCCAACTCAGCTGTATCATCAATTGTCTAGCCAAGTTTTCAAAAATGTCTGGTCAATGTGTTAGCTTTGAGAAGTCTTGCATCTACTTCTCTAAAAACACGAATGTGGAAACCATGCAGTCTATTGCTGATGTCAGTGGGTTCAAAACTGTCAAAAATCTTGGCAGATACCTAGGAGCTTTGCTCAGGCATGGCAGAATAGGAAGGGGACACTACTCGGAAGTCAAAGCCAGGGTTCAATCGAGGCTGCAGGGATGGAAGACCAAGTGCCTTTCTATGGCAGGAAGAATCACTTTGGCTAGAAGTGTCATCTCAGCCATTCCCTGTTACCATATGCAGAACAACTTGATACCAGTACATGTATGTAAAGAGATTGAATCACTGCAGAGGAACTTTATATGGGGTGATGTGGAAACCAAAAGAAAAGCCCACTATGTAGCTTGGGAGAAGATGTGTCAACCAAAGGAGTGTGGTGGGCTGGGAATTATCAACCTTAGGCTTCAAAATGAGGCCTTTATGCACAAGCTGGCCTGGAAGATTGTAGAGGATAGAAACAGTCTGTGGGTTCAAGTTTTGCTTGGAAAATATGGTAGAAAACTTGATCCTAATCGTAGTCTAACCTCCAAGAGTGGTGATTCGGGTTTGTGGAAGCATATTGTTGCTGCAAGAAGCAAGATTGACCAGAATTTAGAATGGAATATTGGGAATGATGAGACTGTTCTTTTCTGAACTGACTTGTGGGGAGGTTGGCAGAGTCCCTTGCTGGAGATTGCAGCAGTAAAACCTCCTATTACTGATCTGCACCTGAAGGTTTATGAGTTGGTAGACACTGGAGTAAAGGATTGGGATTGGAACTACTTGAACAACTTTCTGGATTCTCTCACTTGTAATAGGCTGAGCAAGATTGCTATCCCAAATCCCTGTTGTTCTGATGATTGGCTCTGCTGGAAGAAAGTAATTTCGGGTAAATCAGTGGTCAGAAATGCTTATTGCCTACTGCTTGAGCCTAAGTTGGAGAGGGATAAAATTTGGTCTTTAGTTTGGAAATGGAGAGGTCCTTATAGATTAGCTGTCTTCTTATGGCTAGCTTGCCTCAATAAGCTGCCAGTGAGGAGCATTACTAGTCTCTGGAGTGGAAGAGAAGTACTGTGCCCCATCTGTGTACAGGACAGTGAGACTTTGATGCACATGTTGAGGGATTGCAGCTCTGCTAGGAGCATATGGGAAATCTGGTTTGCTGGTAAGATCCCTAACAGCTTTCTTTGTGCTGAGGACCTGGAGTGGTTTAGAGTAAACCTGACTAAGCCATTTTCATCCCATCTCTGGCATTCTTGGAATGAAATTTTTGTGGTAACTTGCTGGTTTATATGGCAGTGGAGGAATGCATCTATTCATGAGGAGTTATTTACTAGACCACAGGATCCAGTGCTTAGAATCTTAAGCTATTTAAAGGAAATGAAGAGAAGTAGAAATAAGGAACCCTTTAAATTAGATCCTGAAATTCCTAATAATTGCAGACCTAGCCTTGTGATTTTGAATCCTGATGTTCGAATATATGTGGATGGGGCTGTTAATTTAGCTACCAAAAGAGGTGCATGTGGTGGATTTATTTGTTCATCAAGTGGAAATTGGCTGCAGGGTTTTGCATACGGTATAGGGGCTACATCTCCTTTGGAAGCTGAACTTTGTGCTATTCTGCAGGGGATCAAATTAGCTATGCATCTAAATCTGAACCAGGCTTGGGTGGGAAGTGACAGCAAGGAAGCCATAGCTTGCATTGGAGATGAGGCTGCGGGCTGCAGGCTTGCTGCTCTAACAGATAGGATCAGGAACTTAGCCAAGGAATTTAAGCATTTCCGTGTGGATTATATCCCTAGAGAATGCAATGTCTTAGCAGACTCTCTTGCTAAGATAGGGTTAAACTACAAGGGTGAAGAATTATGTTTGTTTGAGTCTCCCCCTGTTAGTTTAGATTTGATATGGAATTCTTTTAGTTTGAATTTGCTGATAGAGCATGTGAATTGTAGCATGCATCAGTTACAGTTGTAGTTCTTGCTGGGCTAGGCCCTCCATTTATATCAAAAAAAAAAAAAAAAAGATGCGTAATTGTGATGCGATGCTTCCTTGGGAGATATTCCTGAAAGGATGATCTTTTGGAGCACTAGTTGGTGATGCTCATTGTGCACTCACTAAAAGTGGTGATATTTGTTGGTTGTGTTCACGAGAGCGGTGATGCTAACTGTGCACCCACCGTGGGTGGTGATGTGAGTTGTATCTTTAATTAGTGATGAGGACTGTTGTTGGATCGGTGTCCTACTTGGTACAAATGGACGATTGAAATACTTTTCAGGTGGAATAACTTGATGAGTAGTTTTAGAGGATGGATAATTTTGGTGTGCATGATTGGTGGAAACATGAATGCTTTTGGAATAGCACAAGAGAAATATTGTATAAAAACTCTTGGCACGACCATGTTATCCCTTTATTTGTGTCCATCAAAGATTATGTGGTGGCGTGTGCTAGGCACAAAGTAAGAAAATGGAATGGAATTGGATTCCATTGCGGACTTGATCATTAAGTAGAGGTACTGTGTGTACTAAAAAGCTATGTAAGTCAATGTTAGAAAATTTACAATGTTATAGATGAATCTGGCTCTTTTAGTAATGAGGTTTTAATATGCGATTCAGTTGCATTACTGTTAGAAAATTTAATAAAAAATAGACAATTATGTAGAAGTGGATTTGTAATTGTAATTGCACTATATACTGGATTCTGAATATAATTAATTTTGTAAAATCATCTAATGTATTAGGTGATTACGCCAAAATTCATGTATCAATGAAAATTGAGTATGAAAAAGATAAACTAAACACATCACAGGGCGGAAAAACCGAAGATCAAACCAAATTTAAGTTACTAAGTCTTTGATACAAAACCATGAGAGCAACTTAGGGATATGGTGAGAGTAAAAAAAAAATCATAACATGTGAGATAAGTCAATGATTGCAGCTAGAAATGAATTCTACTTGGTTGTGCCTTTTCCATCCTTGCTTCCCCGGAGGGTTCATCGTTATCCATCCTACGGTTGTTCCTATATGCTGTATAAGCAATGATGTAAACAATCACAAGTATGATCATGACAACAATGTTGATAACAGAGACCTTCCTCCAACTCTTCTTGAGACTAGCCAGCACACCAGCTTTGCAAGAGTCACAAGCATAACAAAGCAATTGTTGGTCATTGCTCCAACTAGTGCAATCTGGGTTGGTTCCCACTACTCCTCCTCCTGGGCTCCACACTGTCTCATTCTGATAGATATAACCACACTCTGTTGGGGGCTTGCAACAACCAGACTACAAACACAAAAGGAATAATAATATTCTGTTAATAAATTACATGACATATATATAGGTTTTGTATTTAACTTTGGAGACAGTTATATTTACAAATTTTTTGTTTACAAACTACTCTGTGTACTTCCGAAAGTATATTAGATTATATTATGTATTTGAAAAAATTTATAAATTTTTTTTTGTAAATGAATCATTCCCCTGTAACTTTACCCTTAATTTGCCTCTCGTTACAATCAAGCTATATTTATTTTTCTTCTTTCCCATATAAATGCAGACAGTTGCGAAAATTACTATGGCCTGCAATCATAAGTTAAGAAGACTTTTTTTTTATTGTTATAATTAGTATCCCAATGATTTGGGCATGGATTGCAACATGTGCATGCGGGGCAAACGCTAGCCCAAGGACCTAAAATGTGAAAACTTAAAAGCTGATAATCTGTGGGCTCTAGTCCACTAATGATGAAGGCTGGCTGAGTGAGACGTAACAGCTACCATATGGGTCACGTGTTGAGCTATCATAAAAATTCAGGGGAATAGATTCTCTTATGTGAAAAAGTGATCATATTATTTGATCATAATTATTTATTGACGATGAGATAAGAGAGAAGAATGTATAATTTTTAAATGAATGATTATAATCAAGTAACATGACCACGTGATCACTTTTTTATATGAGAAGATTCATTCCCAAAACTCAGTCTTAATAGTCGGCGGCTTAAATCATAAACTCATTTACCATATGCACATCAGCTATATATTAATATTTAATCATTGCTAGCTACACTATGAATAATTAATTTGAGTTCAATTATATATAATTACAAGGGAATTTACAAACCACTCATATTTACTAACTTAAAATTAAAAATAATTATTAACAATTATTATTCTCTTGTGATATGACTAGCTTACAGAATACATACTTATATACATAACATCTTACATTTGTATGCTCTTTATAAGTTAATTAAAACATGATTCACATTATTTTTTGTAAACTTCTGTTACGTAGGCATATCCGCATATGAGAATGGAATTATTTTATATTTTTAACATTTTTAAAGAATAAAAATGGAACAAATACTCTTTTATTATATAATTCATCATACATATCAATTGTTTTTATATTATATTTATTAAAAAAATAAAAAATAAAAAATAAAAATACATCATATAATAAACTGTATATATAATAAATTTGGAAATAATCTTGGTCAGGATTCCCACTTCCTTTCATCTTGTCCTACTTACCATACTAGAAAACAAAAAAGACAAGGATCCCACACCTAATGACAACAATATGGCTACCCAACACTTACAGAGTTCAAATGTTTATAAGTAATATTTTTGTTTTTTTTTTCTTCTAAAGGTGACTTTCTTTTACAACAGTACTATCATTTGATACAATAAATCTTACAAAAGAATGAGATTCTCATAATCAAATAATTAAGATTAATGTAATTTTTATCCTCACCCCCAAGGGCCCGGCCAGTTCCATTCACACAGGAATTGATCTTTTTATATGAAGATTTTACATAAGATCAAGTGAAGAGAAAGATAATTATAAAGACTTTGCACATGATCTCATTAATATTGATAAGGTCTTATTGTTTAATTTTTATTTATCTCTTTCTTTAAATAATATCATATAAAAAAAATTACATAAAAGAGTGCATTCCAATCCAAACATTAACTAGCAACTCTACTAAATGGATAATGGAGTTCAATGAGGTAAAAAAAAAAAAGAGAGAGAGGGAGAAAAAAACTATTTTAAAAGGATGGTGTAGCTGTGTAAAGTGGAGACGAAAGTTCGTAGATATAGCCAAAAACAAAGGGAAGTTTGTAATTCGCTAAAGCCCCCAACTAACAACATGACCCATCGGTTTAATTTATTGAGCTTATGTCATATGCTTCAAATTCTTAAATGAGTCGACGTGACTCGTGAGAACTTGTGGGTCAAGTTTTAACATCAATAACGAGAAAATTATTTGATATATATTTTAAGGGTTTTATAATTCTCATTTAACATGAGAATTCAAATTTTTCTACACACTCTTCGATTTCCGTGCTCACATGGGTCCTACATATAATTTTTTCTAACACATGGGTCCCACATGCTTTTTATCTCTACAACATGATAATTGAATTCTCATTTAACATGAGAAAATCAAAACCCATATTTTAATAATGTAGAAATGCATTATTAAATAACAAATTAACTATTTTTTTATACTAGTCAAAACTAAACCAAATTATTTATATAATGTTAAAATTGTTTGAATTCCATACAACTAATGCACACTCCCATTTAAATGTAAACAATTTTTATACTAAATTCAAATAAAATCATTCATAAATCATACTAGCTATTTCTTTTATAATTCAAAGTTTCATAATTGGATAAGATATTTTGAAAACAAATTTATCTGTAAAGTGTATAAATAAAGTTATTTGGATATTTAATTTAAGGATTTAATGTCTCTCATGTTGTAAGAGATAATTTTATTTCATATACACACATAAAAATATACGGGACCCAATTTGTTTTTTCTTTGTTTTCTTTTTACATAGTCTCACATGGACCATACACACTGTTATGTGTATATAAGAGATAATTTTATCTCTTATAATATGAGAAATATTAAATTCTTAATTTAATTTGAAATATATTGTAATATCAACTTACTAATTAAAAGTTTTAAAATGAATGCATCATTAAAAAACAAAACCGTATAAATAAATAAAAAAATGAATACATCAGTATTACGTATTTTACAAACAAAGGCACCTAATTTTTTTTTATAAAATCACATAATGCATTAATTATCAGCAACGTGGCTATCGAATCATGCGGACCGGCCACTGTCATAACTCATAAACTGATAAATAATCCACACTATATTATTCTTATTATGTAAAATCTTTGTCTGGTGTCTTATATTTTGGACACAATATGTGACGGTGAGTGGTGACATATTTTAATTAGTATCTAACAATGACGCCCTTGTCCAAATGTTTATCAACTATTGTTCCTATTATCTACACACTGATATTTTATTTTATTTTTCATTTCTTATTAATTATACCTCCATCGTTAACATGGGCAGCAAGAAATGGATTGGCCCACGAACCACGCACATTTTTCGGGGCCAGTGTAGTCAAAAGTCAAATCCCTTCAATTCGTGCCTCACATGCCATAGTATTCATTTAATTGCAAGGAAGATGAGGAGGAATCAGATGACTCAGATCTACCCATCCAAAGAAGTGCAAGCACTTCATTCGAGTTCTTTCTCCACTACCCATACTTCCATTTATAAGCACAAAACCAAAACTTTCTAGCAAAATTATAAACAATTGATTCAAAACATTATTATTGGTCTCAAAACACAAAAAACTGTCTAACTTAATTACCTAAGAAATATTTTTTTAATAAGCCATTAGTAAAGAGAAATTTAGATAATTTACCTAATCATACAGGTTTGAATCTCAGTATTACTATTATATATAATTATACAAAAAAAAAGTTTTAATTTTAAAAATAAGTTATTCTACCTACCTTTGCCTATCATTTTCTAACATATTAGATCAGAATCTTAACTAACATTTATCTTTCTCTCTTCTTCTTTTCTTGAGATTCTGATCTAACGATATTGGAGAGTGATAGACAAAGTAATCAGAAAAAATAAATAATAAATAGAATAACCTATCCCTTAATCTTAATTTAGCATAAAAATAACCCAGAAGAGCATGTATATTATCCAGATTCAACCAAAAAAGTAAAAAAAAATAAAAAATACCTGAATAGGAGTGAGATTTCTGAGGTAGAACATATCAGCAGTTTCAGGGACTCCACCAATGGTTCTTCCAAGCTTACTACAAATCTTAGAATCCCTAATACAAGAGCTAATGTCTCTCCAATAGCTATCACTGGCAACGCGTTCCTCCAACCAACCCGTGTAGTCTTGAAGGTAATAGTCCAAGTAAGCACGGTTCTGTATCGCCCTGCCTGAGCCCTTGTCGGTGACAACATAGGCGAAGATGATGAATCCGACGAGAACGGCGATGATGAAGAACATGACAACGAGGTAGAGCCTCATGAGGAAGGTGTTGCGGTAACATGCACCGGCAAAACCAGCTAAGGAGATGACCATGATGCTTACTCCGATGATGATCAATGGCCACTGAAGGAACTTGAGGCAATCCGTGTTGTTGGCTCTGCTGCTCAGCCATATCCCACCTCCTAGTATTGGAACTGAGAGCAAAAACGTCAAGAAGTTTAGTAAACCTATCAAGTGGTTGCTACTTCTCATCTTTTATCGATCTTCTTTAATTTCTGTTTTTTTATGATCCTTCTCCTTCTTCCTCTTCAATATATATATATATATATATATATACACGCTGTTTCTTTTTACATCAGTGTAAAACTAACACCACATCTCAATTGTTAATGGACAGAAATCATCGATTAATATTTATAGTGTAATTAATGATTAATTAATTCATATGACTTTCTATAACCATTAGAGGCACGAAAATCAACTATTGAGATGTAATGTAAGACTTATTAGTCTTATACCAGTGTAAAATAATCATGATCCTCTCTCTCTTTATAGATATATATAATTTTATTAATCTCATGTTAAAGGTGATAGTTATCTCATGTTATTGAGACAAACTAGTAGGCTCCACCACATAAAAAAATAAAAGAAAAGAAAAAAAATGTGGCACAGTTATCGAATGGTGTGTAAGAGAAAAAACTTATGTCATGTGATATAAGAATAGTTTTTGTCATATATATATATATGTGTATGTATGTATATTAAGATCAATTTATACTATGTAAAAACAATAAATCTTATGCTCAATTTTATCGTAAATCTTAATCGTTAATTTATATGTATATATGACGGTTTGTAATTTATTAAGAATTAATTAATGTAACCTAATGAATTATCACCATGTGAAATTGAGAATTAAAATTTAATGTAAAACTTATTAAAATTTAATAAATTTATTATTCTTAAACTCGTCTAATTGATGCTATTTATATATACATATAGGCAATAATAACAAGAAGAAGAAGCGTTTGTTAGTTGTTAGATGCAGGGTCCAGCGTCGGGGAAAATGACCATATTGTCACTTTTTAAGAAAAAATTTACCGGATTGCCACATCAAGAAATTTTTTTGTCAATATGCCACATTACAATCTCGTTAGTCTGACAAATGGGAATGAATTGGACACGTGGCAACATCTGAATGGTCAACTATTCTAGCTAAGCAGCCCAGCGCGAATGACAGAATGCTGACATGTGGCAAAAGTACAGATATCATGTACTTTTGCAGAGAATGCCTGCACTTTTGCCACATGTCAGTATTCTGTCATTCGCGTTGGACTGCTTAGCTAGAATGATTGACCATTCAGACACTGTCACGTGTTCAATTCATTCCCGTTTGTCAGATCAGCGGAATTGTGACGTAACATTTTGACAAAAAAAAAATTTCTGACATGACAATCCAATAAATTTTTATTAAAGAGGTGTGAGTTTGGTCACTGTCCCAAAGCATCATATATATTGTAATTGTGTGATTGAGAGTTCGTAAATAAAAACGACAACTTGCTGCGCATGTAGACAGGTGTCCGTTAGATTTAGTTGGTAGGAAATGACTCAAATTGCCTCTTTCTTTTGAAAAGGCTACACAGTTATTGGTTCATTTACTTTCTTGAAAAAATTTCTCAATCGATGGTAAATATGTAATTAGCAATCGTATAACTAATGAAAAATTATTGTTAATTAGATGTCTAAGTTCGAGACGATGAAATGGAAAAAATAATATTGAGAAAGTCGTTTCCAATATGAATAAAAAAAGGAAAAATTATTAGACAAATTCAATTGAAGGTGATAATTGTAATTTTATTTTGGGTTTAATTTTTCTCATATGATAAGAGATAAAATTATTTATTACAACATAAAAAATATCAAACTCTTTTTTTTTTACATAAAATTTTAGTTAATTCTATTGAGATCGGCCAAACCTCAATCTCTTTAGGAATTGTTGAAAGAAATTATATTTCAATCATGAAAAAACAGACGACTGAGGGGTTCTAGTATGTTTTGTTCTTATGCACAAGTGTTACAAATTTTATTCTCTAAGTAACCCCCTGCCACGAATCATTGACATCCATGCATATTGACAAACCACCTACCCATGAAAAGAACGGGAACAAGTTTTGTTTTTATTTTTAATTTTTTGAAATTAAAAACGTTTTTATTATGACTTGTGAGTTGTTGTGACTTTGATTCAATTCTCCACTTGGTTTATCAATGGGCTTCAAGTCTTCAGCCACGCAAAAATGTTTTTTTTTTTTTTTTGCCTTATTCGTGGTTGTTGGAGAGTTTGTCGAAATATTATTTGGTGTTTTGATTTTATTTTTATTTTATTGAGTTTAATGTTTCTATTTTTAATGCAGAAATTTTTTTCTGCTACATTCACATAATAAAAATAAATAGGTCTGATTATATGAGTGTAGCAGATAAAATTTTTTTACAATAAAAACATAAACATTTTCCCCTATTTTATTTTATCTTTTTTTTTTAGTTGGCCTTTCATTTTTATTTTTCTATTTTATCTTTGATCTTTTATTAGGGTGACAAAAATATGAGTTGAAAACAGTACTTTAATTAGGATTGACTCGTAACTCGTCAAAAATGAGTCGGGTTGAATTGGCAAAAATGAGCTACCAGCTCGGAAAAAAACGAGCCAACCCCCGGGTCCAACGAGCTAGCTCGCGGGTTGAGTTTTTTTTTTTATAAAAAAATACAAAATATAATATACAAAAATGGACAAAACTCACACATGCTGTCATTGTCTTTCTTCATTCTTTAAACGTAAGTCCATAATCTTCTCACATCTGTGCCATTTTTATATTGTTAGGCTGTGTTAGCTCTATTTAGTTCAAATATCTTACCCACTTGGTAGCAAGTGGTTCTGATTGTTTCTTGATGTTGGTGCAAATTTGTTGTGCAGAAAATTCGACACTAGAATATTTTCTTTTATTTCTCATTTTGTAACCTTTTGTTGCTCATGGAAGCCACATAGCTGGTGCATTAATACTACAGGTTCATTTAAATAAGCTGAAGATGAGCCAACCAGCGAGCAATTTTTGAGCCAACCCGCGAGCCAACCTTAACCCAACTCGGGTTGGGTTGGATTTTCTGTCTCGTTTTTTTTCCCGAGCAAACCCTAACCCGACTTATTTTTTTCGGGTTGCATACGGGTTGGGCCGGATCGAGCTGGGTTAATCCGTTTTGCGAAACCTGACTTTAATGATCTAAAACAATATACATTTATATTACGAAATAAAGTAATTTTCTTACAATTTCTCAAGTTTACTTTTGTTTGAACTTTGAAGTTATTGATTTTCCTATTTTAAAATACTCATCCCGTTTATTTTCTTTCAATTTTTTTATTTCGTAAATCAATAATGAATTAATTTTTTGGTAATTTTATCTTTACTTCTTGATATCTTCGTCGATTGAAATAAAAGAAAACACTAATATACTGAAAAAGTAATTTAGTCAAATAAAATCATATTTTTTAAAATTAAAATATTTAATAACTTTTTTATTATTGTATAATTTTTTTATAATTATCTTAAAATGAAGGAACTAATCATCAATGGAATATTGCAAGTCCAAGTTCCAACAGATTACCGGAACGGAGGAAAAACAAAACCCACAAGGTTAAGCAACTCCGAAGTAATCTACAAACGTTTTCTTGATTGCGGGGGAAGTCTTCAGGTGCACGTGAGACCAACAATAGAAATGTGTGCATATTTCTTATTTTTGGTATTCACGTAATCTGGTTACTTTGTTCTGTAATAGCCGACCAATAAAAAAATAAAAAAAGATGTCTTAGCAACTATATAAAATTTGAATTTATTTAACAAAACATATAAATAAAGGAAAAATATTTATTATTTTAAATAATATAACTTATGTTATTGTAAGTCTTTTGGTACATATTTGTTTGTCTTTTATACTTTTTCTCATCCATAATATTCTTTCATTTTTTATGAATAAGAGAGAATGTAAGAGACCAAATATGCATTAAAACACGATTATTTAACTTAAAATCAATGTTTTAAAACTCGGACTAGACATCGATTCGGTCAAGATATTGAATTACTGAATCAATGTTCAATCGGATTTCAAAATAATATATAATAAATATTAAATTATGAACATTATGTTCAACAAATAAAAATGGTCTAGTGATAAGCCTTTTGATCCGCAAACAAGCGGGCTCAAGTTTGAATCTCGTTGCTTGCAAAATATATATATTTTACACAATTTAACATAAATTCGATTGAATCCGGTTTTCGATATGGTTCAACATCGGTTGAACCCGATTTTGGTTTGCGTCAATTGGTTCAAGTGCATAACCGATCAGAGGGCATCAAGTTACCGAAACTCGGGTCGAGCTGACTGGTCCGAGTCGGGTTTTAAAAACTACTTAAAATGACACAAAGTTGTGTCATTTAAAATGATAAAAGAAATTCAATAATTACTTTTATAAAAAAAATTAATTTTGTTGACTAATCTTGAATGATGTTAGGAACTCAATAAACTGATATGACATTAGTTAAATAATATAGTTGTTAACAAAAATGGGAACGAAAAAATTTATTTCTTGATAATGAGAGAATGTACATGAGCTCCTATTTATAGCAAGGAAAGAGGAAAAATATCGAGCTTAAAAAAGAATAACAGAAAATGAAATGGTTACAACCATGCTAACTAAATAACAACCTTCAAAATATTAGCTAACAGCGAGAGTTACGTCCATCTATTGTGATTGGTAGCACGTAGGGGTGTAAATGGGCTGGGCTTTGGCCATCCTGGCCCAAGCCTACGTCAAAAAAAATTCAACCTATCTAGCCTACTGGCCTATTAAAGGCTTTATTTGTAGGCCAAGCACGACCCATTTTCAAAAATAAGAAAGCCTGACATGGCCTACAGGCCTTGTAGGCCTCCCACTATATATACTAAGCAAAAAAAGTAATTGTATAGAGCAAAGAAAGTTCCATTCATGCATGCACTAGTACTTCTCATAAGAAAAAAAATGACAAACAAGAAAGAGTCAACATAATACCTCAGCTCTAGAATGTATATCATAGAGAAATAGAGTCAAATAAATGGGAAAAATAAGAAAAATACAATTACTGGATGCTGAAATAAAGTCTACAAGAGAATGTCATTCATCTAAAAATCTTTAAACCACCATCAAAACAAGAGAAAGAAGAGTATTATTGAAAGATCT